TCAACAGTATTTTGCAGTATTTTCAAGCAGCAGTTCCTAATGTTTTGAACGGATTTTTTTGAGGATAGGGAATGTTTTCTTCTTCGGATGTAGCGTATGATGTCAGTATCAGTTGAAATGATATTCTATCATGTGTGAATGATAATTTCGGTTTGAGAAAATAAGCCAAAATTAAAAAAAATGACGGTAAACGACATCGAGTTAAGATACCAGCGGTCGATCCAAGGGTATTTATTAATTTATTTATTTAAGGATTTCTACTACAAGCAGTACCGGAGCAAAAACAATAGGACATAAATCCCCTAGTAGGTTTAAGCTCCAACCCAACCTTCTCCTAAAAAATATTAACTAATAGACTAAATATTTAGTAATAGGCCGCTTAACAAGTGCACGCAACAAGGATATTTATCCGGCGACATTTAGGACAAATTATTTTAAAGGTACGAAAGTTGTCGCCATCAAGAACGTTGAATAGTCTCTTGAAATTAAACGACGTAAGTTTACGCTTAAAAGAGTCAATAGATTCAGCCTGCCTAACATCATTAGGTATATTATTTTCTTTTACTTATTTTGCAACAGCGGTTGATTCTTGATGTTTTCATAAAAAATTTTGCGCGGGGAATTTGTGCGCGGCTGGCCAGAATGATCCACTCCCACATGCCACACGTTTGACCGCTGGTTTCAGTTTCTGTGCAGTCAGTATGCTGTAGAATCAGAATGCTGCGTCTAATCTTAATTACCACCAGGCCCCACACTTACGACTACAACTACAAAGAAGAAGATTTGCAATGTGACATTCGTCATCCCTTCCCGTCGCAAGTCGATATATGCGTCTAAAGCAAACTGAACATCTATTTGCTTATCCCCCTTCGTTGACTATGCCTTTGTCGACTTCATTTTGCAATTCAGGCTCCGTTTCGTTCGTTCGGCAACCATGTGTAAACCTCTAATTAGCTATATCTGCAGTCATATCCTTGTCGCCACCATTGTCGACGACACTATCAGGTTTACTTTTTGCGTCAGCCTCCTGATATATCAACAGTATCATCTATTTCAAAATCCTAATCCATATCCATTTTATTTGCACAATCTTCGGAAACTTCTCCTTCTGCAGTAGTCTTCTTCACTACCACCGTGGCATTCTGGAATCTAGGGACGATGTTCTCGTAGCTTGCAAAGCGATCAACAGTATTTTACAGTATTTTCAAGCAACAGTTCCTGATGTTTTGAACGGATTTTTACAAGGATAGGGAATGTTTTCTTCTTCGGATGTAGCGTATGATGTCAGTATCAGTTGAAATGATATTCTATCATGTGTGAATGATAATTTCGGTTTGAGAAAATAAGCCAAAATTAGATAGATAGATAGATACTTTATTATAAACACCTTGCAGCCATGGGCTGAATTACGGAATATTTACAAGTACAGATGATAAAAAGGACGTGTAAAATATTACAACTTCGTCGTTAAGAAAGAAGGAAAATTATCTACATCTTATAAATATGGCTAAAAATAAAACTATTCTTCAAGCGCTCGGTTTTGCATATGGGGAGAGTGAAATCACTTTTGCGCCTCAGTGCGTATCTACAACTCTTCCTTTGGGGGAGGAGGCTGTGGAGTCTATGGGTGGGGTTACGGACTATCTCGTCAAACAGGTTGGTTGAGATTTTTTCCCTCCTCTCGTGAAGTTTCGGTAGGCCAGCCGTTTCTAGTGCTACACAATATGACAGGTTAGGATAGATGATTCTGAGTGCCCTTCTTTGGATCCGTTCCAAATCTTCACTGATGTAGTTTGGTAGAGAACGGTGGAATACAGGACTTGCGTATTCCAAGACGGGCCTAATACATGTCACATAGAATTGCACAAGTTCGCTTGGTGCAACTCCGGATCTCTTGAGTTGTCTCAAAAAGTAGAGACGAGAGGAACATTTTCTACTTAGTTCAGAGGTGTGCATGTTCCACTTTAAATCGTGGCTAATGGTCACGCCTAGCAATTTGGCACTGGTGACTA